AATGGGCCACATCAGTGACAACTAAAAACTCCAGAAGTATCTGGACCTATGATGGAAACCCAGATATACCTATGGGTCAAAGCTTGGTTCACACTTGCTGAAATGAAATAAAGGAGAAATAGTTGTCATCACCATTGCGGAAGGATGAGCGTGGCTCTGGATGAGAACATAAGTCAGTGCTATGGGTACAGCTGCCGAGAGTATGAGCAAGTTGGACATGTGGGCATGCCATGCATTGCCACAGTAATTGAGTGTTTGCATGCATGTGCGCGCATGTACGTGTGTGTGTGTGTGTGTGTGTGTGTGTGTGTGTGTGTGTGTGTGTATGTGTATGTGTATGTGTGTGTGTGTAATCTTATGTCTTGTTTCTGATTCCCATAAAGACTCTATCATCTGGGGTAGTGAATGGCACATTATTTCTGCCATGATCTTACTCTTTCAGCTAAACTGCTCTTTAGGGTGGGGAACATAACCACTCAAGAGTCCTGTATACAAGCCTTTCTTATTCTGTGGAGATGTTTCTTACATAAAACATGGAGGAAGGCTTTGGTGAAGGCTTTTCTGGCCTGGCTTTGGGGAAAGGGGGCAGGGGTGAATTGCTGTGTTTGGCTTGGCCTGTGGCCAGATTTTATAAAGCAGCTTGGTTGGGGTGACAGTTGCTCGGCAGAAAAATGAATTGTCTAAATAGATATTTGAGTGATGTTGGGCCTACCATGCATGCCACACTCCCAGATAATCTGACAGGATCTGTAGTGACCAGGATGGGTTGTTGTCAGCCTGATACAAGCTAGAGTCGCCTGAGAAGAGAAGACCTCAGCTCAGAAAATGCCCTCATCACATTGGCCTGTGGGGCATTTTCTTGATGAAAGATTGATGTGGGAGGGCCCAGCTCATCATGGGCAGCCCCCCTGGCAGGTGTGATCCTGGGTGATGTAAGAAAGCAGGCTGAGCACGCCAGGAGGCAGCCTTTCGCCATGACCTCTACTTTGGTCCCTACCCCCAGAATCCTGCCCTGACTTCCCCCAGTGACGGAGTGACCTGAGGGCTGTAAGATGAAGCAAACCCTTTCCTCCCCAAGTTGCTTTTGGTCATGGTGTTTATCACTATAATAGAAACCCTAACCAAAGCCAGGCAGTGGTGGTGCACACCTTTAATCCCAGCACTCGACAGGCAGAGGCAGGCGGATCTCTGTGAATTCGAAGTCAGCCTGATCTACAGAGCAAGTTTGAGGATAGCCATGGCTGTACAGAAAAACCCTGTCTCAAAAATAAATGAATGAATGAATAAATCATTTAAAAAGAGAGAAAG